CAGTAACTGAGCAGATTGTGAAATACTCAGACCGGCCCGTCTGGCACCAACAACCATGCCACGCTCAAAATTGCTTAAATCACCTTTCTTTCCCATTCTGACATTCAGTTTGGAGTTCAGGAGATTGTCTTGACCAGGACCACACCCCTAAATGCATTGAAGCAACTGCCATGTGATTGGTTGATTAGATAATTGCATTAATGAGAAATTGAACAGGTGTTCCTAATAATCCTTTAGGTGAGTGTATATCACAACAAATCAGTGTTATCAACCACATAAGCTTTATTTATTTATTTTTTTCAGATATTTAAATATGCTACTAGGAATACATTTATAGTTTGTAAAATACAAACTGATGTCTATGGAAGCGGCAGTAGCCTTTCAATTATAAAACAATGACGTTTAGATATTGTGCAGGTAACTTTAAAATAGACACTATTCTTCTCACACTTCACTGGCCACTTACTTTCTTAAGCTATTTTGGGAGAAGTGGATGAAGTGATGTGTTGTATGACAGAAAACGTTACAATTCTCTGAACTGCGGTGCGTAGCCTATAACCAGAGATGGGCTCGAGTCACATGACTTGCTCAAGTCGCAAATTTAAGGACTTGAGACTTGCTTGACTAAATTAAGAAAATGACTTGACTTGACTTTGACTTGAGATCCAATGACTCGAGACTTGACTTGACTTGAACTGTATGACTCGAGAATGACTTTATATAAATCATCGCAACATCAATTGACGATTTATTCACCACGTCTAAAAGTAAGCGGCTTGTTTAAAGGTGGGGTATGTGATTTGGAAAACGACCGGCAGATTTTGAAAATATACCATTCAAATGGTCCTACCTTCTTTCCTCCAACGCCGGCTCTGACTCCACCCATTCGAAGAACATGGACGCGCAATCATGCACGAGCGAAAACTCAGATGCGCGAGAGATTGTAATGACGATTTACTACTAATCATGGAACCGGCTTTACTGAAGAGATGCGCATGCGTCACAAACTTTGAGTATGCGCACGATGGGGGTCACGCGCGCTGGGGGGAGGGGGTGTGGTACAACCGTTTGATTGACGGACTTACTGTCCAATGATTCTGGTGGTCTTGGAAATGATTGGCTGGAGTTTTTCGAGTCCTGCCCGTTCCACAGATGATTAAATTGCTTAATTTTCATTTCAGTGCTTCTTACTCAGTGGCTGTAAGTGGGTTAGGAATAGGATTTCTAGTTATTTTGAAAAAATGTACAAAAAAGAGAATCACATACCCCACCTTTAACCTGTTCATTTGACTAACGTTAAATCTAGTAAGTAAAGTTTATTTCTAAAGCGCTTTTCACAGATAAAATCACAAAGTGCTGTACACGAGAAAGGTAAAAACAAAACCTTATATAAACAATATAAAAATGTATATACAGTACATATGTAAAATCAAAGTGACACTAGTTAAAACCCATCAACCAAAAGCTTTCTTAAATAAACAAGTCTTCAGGTCTTTTTTAAAAGAGTCAACAGAGTCAGCCAGACGCAGAGACAGGGGCAGGGCGTTCCACAGTCTGGGGGCAACAGACTGAAAAGACAGGTCCCCTCGGGTCTCATAACGAGTCTTGGGGACCATAAGAAGGTTCTGGCCAGAAGACCGAAGAGTGCGGCTAGAGGAGTGCCGACTCAAAAGGTCCTTGATGTACTGTGGGGCCTGACTGTTTAAGGCCCTGAAAGTCAGCACTAAAATCTTAAAATCAGTCCTATATTTTTTACAGGGAGCCAGTGGAGAGTCAACAAAACGGGAGTGATATGAGACCTTCTGGGGGCACCAGTTAGAAGTCTACCAGCACAATTTTGGACCATTTGCAGTTTGTTCAGAGCAGACTTAGTCAAGAAGGTAAAGACAGAGTTGCAATAACCAAGTCTAGTTGATATGAAAGCATGAATAATAATTTCCAGATCCTTCTTTGACAACATTTTGCGAATTTTAGAGATATTCCTGAGGTGATAAAAGCAGTTTCGGACAAGCTGTTTTGAGTGTATCTCCAAAGACATGGCCTGGTCAAACACAACCCACAGGTTTCTGAGGCTGGATTTGACAGAGGAGCCAAGAGAGCCAAGGTGCTGTTTGATCACCGGGATCTTATGGTCTGGAGCAAAGATCAATGTTTCAGTCTTACTTGCATTTATCTGCAAAAAGTTAGTGGCCAGCCAGTCTTTGATAGAGGACACACACTCTAAGAACAGTGACAATCGATGGAACTCAGCATCATTGAAAGAACAATACAACTGGACATCATCGGCATAGAGATGATACGATACATCCTTAAAACAACCCATAATATGAACAAGTGGCAAAATGTACAGTAAAAACAAAATAGGGCCCAAAACTGACCCTTGTGGCACTCCGCAGGACAAATTGGTCACATCTGACTGTACATTGTTTATAGAAACATTAAAGGTTCTGTCTTGAATATAGGAAGAGAACCACTGGAGGACAGATCCAGATAGTCCCATCTCATTTTGAAGCCGGTTGATCAGTATACTATGATCTACCGTGTCAAAAGCAGAACTCAAATCGAGAAGTACAAGTACAGTGTAGCGGCCAGCGTCCGCTGCCATCATCACATCACTAGAGACTTTGATAAGAGCTGTTTCAGTGGAGTGCATTTTCCGGAAATCTAGAGAGAACAGTGGTCAAAACAGCATGCCTCTTTATACAAAATTATGTTTTCAAATGTAGCTTAAGGCTGTCAATAGATTCAAATGATAATTAATGATGGCATATGTTTTGTATAACGTGCACAAACTCTCAAATGTCCAAATATGTCGCTCTTTCCAATGACGAAAAACAACAGAAAACTGTTAATGATGTTTTGTCGTGTTTTATGTTTCTCTTGAAGCAGGGTCAGATGTTATCAGGGGGTTGGGGGGCAAAATGCCAGCAGAATTAATATGCACCCAAAATTAAAGATGTGGTGGAAAAATGGCCCAAGTATGAGTTATTTTTATATTTATAACATATGATATTAAAAAATATTTCCAGAATATTGGCGCGATTGCAAATGTGATAATGTTTTTTGTACAACAGTTCAGTAAACAAAGAGTGAATATTGTGTATATATGACATTTTAGACATAATATCTCTGTTTTTGCTCTATTTCTCCAATGACAATAGTTCCAAACAAGCCACAGAAAAAGAGTTATGTGAATCTGATAAAATCCGGGGGTTTTGTGATTCAGTGACCTAGTGGCTTAGTTCCAGAATGAATGTGCAGTTTTGTACAATCAGTTGAATGAATGCTTCTACGACTCGTACATTAAGACGGTGATTTGGCGCCACTTATTGGCGGTTTTAATTTCATAATTAAAAATATATAATTTATTATTTTTTAGCATCTCATTTTTTTTTTACCAATTCATCTAACCAAATATTGGCTCTTAATGGGAAGTTAATGTCTGCCGGTGATCTTCCATAGAAAAATAAGCAAAGTTAAACATATGACATTTAGGCCTACTATAAAACCAACATAATTAATGCATCACACTTTTGAATTTACCTTCAAATGTTTTCTCTTCAACATTTTTCGTATTGTTATTATAATAATTCCAAATTTTTATAATCATAAATACATGCTATAATAAATTATATGAATATTATTAATATTACGATATAAATGTATAAGAAAGGTAATCATTTCTGAGGGGAAAATAAATAAGGTTGAGGCCAATATAAACTCTTACTTTTACTTTCTGTTTGGTATTGTAACTTGGCTTGGACTTGCTAAGACTTGTGACTTGAACATGTGTGACTTACTCCCACCTCTGGTACTAACATGGTGAACATGTGCGTTAGATCAACTACCATGAATAATGATCATTATAAAGGTTTCTTAAATGACAAAACACATTCACTTACATGTATTTAAGAATAAAAAATATCAGCCAAGGACATGTCACGCAACCAATCACAATTCGTTTTGTTCCTCGTCATGTTTAGTGTGAAAATGTAAAGTCGATGTTCCTACAATAACAGACCGGCGTCGTACATCTAATAAATTAATCATTCAAGAACGCGGTGCAAGTTTACTGCAACAATAGAGCCGCGAACCTCACATACATACTTTTGAGAATCCAGCGTTTAGTTGATCCTGATGATTATAGTCACTGTTGTAAATGACGGCGTTCTTCTTCACGAGGGGTTTCGCGTCACGGCTTTTTAAGGTGATAAAATAACTTTATTTAAGATGAAAATAGCGCTCATCTTGTGCAGGACATGCGATAAGTCAGGAGAGCTGTCGTATTCTGCCAGAGAAGATTTTGTCAAAATTACATCGTCAGGTGTCACAAATGATCATATTTCTGCAAAAGAATTGGTGAAATTTAACGCTGGTTTGTAGCACACCAAGGAAGAATACAGACTAGGCTGCTGTTATATTAGCCTACTGGTAGTGTTATTTAGTGTACAATTATTGTAGGCTAGCTGGGTTAGGTGGCTTAGGTTTTATTGTGCATTTGTTGTGTTTTGTGTTTAGGCTATTTTATTCATATTTAAGTATACTTTAAAATTGTAATATTGTTCAATTTTAACCATTTAATTATTATTTCTTTTAATAAAAAAAAAGTTCTTTAATGTTATTCACCATCGTTTATTTTGAGGCACCAGTACCGTTTTAAAAGTATAGATTTGGCACCGATATCAAAAAACCCAAACAATACCCAACCCTACTCAAAGCGCGTTCCCTCTCTAGTGTTCCTGAAATTACCGTAATCATCGTAATAGGTGCACACGCATTGTATTTTATTTTTGGCGGCTTGCTTGACCGCAGTGTTGTACGTGGTCTGACCAGAGATAGTGTAATTCTGCAGAAACTGTATTGTAGTTAGTTCGGATAGACGTACGTGATTTCTCTCTTCAGTGGGGCTGAAAAACATCTGGCACGTTCCTGCAGATTTAGTTTGTAGCGTAAGGAGGACATTAAACTTCAGACGAGCCTTAATAACAGCCCTGCTGTGCTACTGGGAGCAGCTTTTGCTCCAGATTTAACCAGCAACGAACGGATTTCATGTGAAAAGGTAAGAGATTGTGTCTGATATTAGATTTAGGGGAGAGCCGTTACACTTTTCAGATAAACGTCGTTTTCTAAGCTAAGGTTATATATATATATATATTGTGATCAACAACTCATGTGTTCTCTCATGTGTTATTCGGTAGAAATATAGAATGATTTAAGTCAAAATTGACTTTGAACGGTAGTTGTGTGCTTTGTTTCATAGGGGTGGGTGGGACGGATGAAACATAACAGTTTAAACGTATATATTTTATTATATGTTTATTATGTGAGATAATGTGCGATCAGCAAAAAAATAAACCCTGGTGGATGCGAGTTCAAGTTCAGTGGTCTGGAACGGAATGTGGGACTAATAATGGTTCTGGTCACTGGATCTCAAACTTCTACAAGGAGTCTATGGTTGCAGCAACTCGGATAAATAGATGGGGGCTAGATCACGTAAAGATTTATAAACAAATAAAAGCATTTTAAAAATCAATTCTGAATTTAATAGACAGCAAATGAAGGGTCCTTTGCAGCAATATAATACAGTACAGTAATATTAATACTGTTCTCTGATATGTTTTTTCAGTGCAATCAGAATCACATATTATAAAGCTATGTAATAAACGTAATTTAGTTAATTATTGTGCTTAAAGGTTATTATTCCCTTGTTAATAATCGACTTAATTTATATTTTAATCAGTCAAATGTTCCCTTGCATGAAATACTAAATCTATTTTGCATATTATAAATAAATATTTATTTCTTGATTACAAATAAAACTGGATTAGTCAAGCAAATTGCTTGATGTTTATAAATGATGAAATCATATCAGTGGAACCAGGGCATACAAAGGCCACTTTTACTTTCGGCACACGGACCTCAATCAAGTTTCCTTCCTTGTAAAAAAAAAAGAAAAAAATTGAGCACCTCTGATCTAAAGAAACTGTTCACAGAACTTTTTATGCAACAGAAAGATTCCATAAACAAGCTTTATTTTAAAGAGTGTGTGTTTGACTGTTTCTTATAAGGTTAATTGGATCGTTCATTAAAAAATATATATTGTCATCATCTACCCAATCTGATGTAACTGAACTAGGGCTGGTTAAAAAAAATTGATTTCTCAATTTTAATCGATTCTCATTTTAAAGAACCAATCGATTCTTGAATATCAAGAATCGATGTTTTTAGTGTGTTTTCAGTTGATGAATGGACAACTTTGTAGCGCACCACCCATCCATTCAATCTCAATAAGCTTCTCGATTAGTTACTTCTGACTAATTTCAGCTTTCGAATTCTGTCCATTTAATTTCGAAATGCGCGTGAACCGATCGTCCTCTTTACTACTAGTCACAGCGCCAAATAAACAGGAATGAATAGTATCTCAAGGAATTTTGAAAGATACAGTACAACTTACTGTAACCAATCATGTCTCATGTAATCACTCAATCTGTGTTTCAGCCGTGGAAAGACGTCAATAAAACAGCTTAAGTGTAAACTTAAAGGGACAGTTCACCCAAAAATGAAAACTCTGTCACTGTCGTCACTCGGACTATTTTAACGATGTCTTTAATAACTTTTCTGGGCCGGCAAGTTTCAATCCCTTAGAAGCCTATGGAGGAGTGATCCAGCTCTCAGATTTAATCACAAATATCTTAATTTGTGTTCCGAAGATGAACGAAAGTCTTACGGGGTTGGAACAACATGAGGGAGAGCAATTACTGACAGAATTGTCATTTTTGGGTGAACTATCCCTTTAAGTGTCAGTTTACAGCATTCGTTGAGAGATTTTGTCATATGGACTACATTCATGGTGCTTTTTCTCATTGGTTTCGAATCCGTTTCCCACAGGTTGAAGATGTCTAACTGCACCCTGAACATCACCAACACAGTTCTGCACCTGCAGACGGCCACTTCGATTCCCACCTTCATCCTCGGGGTCCTGGGAAACATATACATCCTAGTGATGTTCTGCCGGCGTCCCAGAGCGGACTGGACCTACATGAACATCTACATCACCAACATGGCCATCGCCGACTGCATTCTGCTGGTGTTCCTTCCCGTCAAGATTCACTACTACGACAGGCCATTGGAAGATGAGCTAATAGGACTGTGTAATTGTGTTTTGTCGGTTTATTACGTCAACATGTACGTGAGCATCTTCAACCTCACCGCGATAAGTGTGGTGCGATACGTGGCCATCAAGTATCCAATGAAGTCCAGGGCTATTTTATCCTGTAGGAACGCTCTGGTGGTTTGCGCGCTCATTTGGTTCGCCATTTGCTCCATCAGCCCGGTTTACTTTGTGACGGACTCTGGTAATGATAAAAAAATGTGCTTTCAGAGGGTCAAGTCAGGCTTGTCGTTGCATTTCGTCTTGCTGTTGATCATCGTTGGGTTCCTCTTGCCGTTCCTGATCATACTGTACTGCTCCGTTAGGATCATTCACACATTGAGGAAACAGCTGGACATCGGAACCCGTTCGGAAAAAATCCAATGCATGTTTATCATCGCGGCCAATTTCATGGTGTTTGTCATATGCTTCCTCCCCGTTCACTTGGGGTACTTCGTTAAATACGTCGTGCAAACCGAGGAGAACTACAGCTGCTCCGATAAGCAGATCGCGCACAACTTCTTGCACTGCGCTCTTTCCATTTCCAGTATGAACTGCGGATTGGACTGCTTTAGCTATTTTTTTGCCACTAAAACCTCATGGAATATATGCAGCACAAACCGAAGTGAAGAAAAACGTCAATCAATTTATAACACAGTTGCAGATCAAGATAGCACGCCTTGTACTTAACTCTTTTCCCGCCATTTTCGGGCTTTTTGTGTTTTCAGTGTTATACGGTAGGGCGGCGCTAGCACTGAATCTCCTGATAAAAACACAGGAGAAGAAGAAACAGAAACAGGCGATAGAAGCACTGCTGACGCACATGTAATCTAACACTATCATCCATATTTAACAGCATATCAAAACTGCTTAATGTTACTGAATGAAATGGACGAGCTACAGGACTGTGATGGACTCTATCTCTATCTGTGCTTTGATCGTCGTTCTCAATCTGGATCTGATCCTGATGAAGTCGTTGACAAAAACACGATTTTCCTTTTTTTCCTTTTTCAAGTGTTGATAATAAAAGAATGCGTGAAGCTTTTATAAAAGCAGAGGATCTGTTCCTTCTTTTGATATATCGCATGTTCAGATATTCATACAACAAAATATTCTGGGGGCCGTGAAACTTTTGTGAGAGTTCATTGTTCTGGCTGGATTTTATTTCATTATAAAGTCCTTTTGTGAAAGTTATGTAATGGATTGCAATATTAAACCTGGCTTTTACATTAATAAAACATATATATATTAATGCTAGACTGGCTAGTTCATTCTGAGTGGTTTAAGCTGTACAATGAGTCTTAAGTGTTTATCTTTCCACTCTGAACTGTTAAACTGTCTTGTTGTGTTTTTCTTGTAGGATTTATTTATGGAGCATATGGTCATAGATATCCATAATAAAGGCTAGATGTGTTACGGCGGAGTCTCTATCGTCATCACCGGCGGCCATCTTGTCACAGGCAATCTTTCTGGCGGGCTCTGTGGTGCCTGATGTAAGATGAGGGATCAGCACGAACACAAATACTCTTATCTCGTTGATATCTTGACGGATTTACAAACGGTTTGGTTTCTTACAAACGTTATTAACATGGCTATAATTCTGGATGATTATTTATTAATACACTTATTATTCATAAGTATGCAGTGTCATAACTACATCTCTGACGTTTATAACAAACCAAACCGCTTGAAAATCGGTAGAAAATTGAGCAAGTTATGGTTATTTAAAAAGAACATGCACCATTAAAACACAATGTAGAGTGAGCGAGCTGCCTGTGACAAGATGGCCGCCAGGTGCGGACGTCGACCTCCATTGGCCAGCAGCGCGGACGAGACATCTAGCCTTTATTATGGATATCTATGCATATGGTGTCTTATCAAACAGCTAATGCTACCATTTTCCACAGGTACCAGCTAAAGCTGTATTAACCTTAATACAAGTAAACTTAATTTAACTGACCATCACTGAAACACATGTATCTTCTCAATAGGCTACTACAAAAAACAAATTCATGTACTCATAAACTCAAACTCTTAGCGGTAAGAGCAGTATTTAACGAACCCATTTGTTTATTGGAAACTTTGTGGAACGTTTTAAGTCAAGGTTCAAATAAAATGATTCGTTTAAACGAACAGATGATGATCATGTGTGGTGAGAAATCGAGTCCCCCCAAGGGGGTAATCCATCGACCGGAAGTTGAAGCCGGCCGGGTGCCGCCATGTTGTAGCAGAACTTTACTTGCGTTAGCATTTCCATTGACTCCCATTCATTTTGGCGTCACTTTGACAGCGAATAACTTTACATCTGAGGCGTTTAAAGACTCCATTTGTCCATTATTTATTTCTAAAGAAACACGACAATGTATAAAGGGCTCCATTACCTTCTATGTTACATTATGGCCCCATAGAAACAGTTTTAGTAAAAATAGGCTAACGATTGCGTCATAACCACTCGACTCTCTGTCGCGCTGTACAGAAATTACCGTACAGACAGGAGGAGAAGCTCGCAGGCAATCGGGGGGACGTCCCGTCAAGAGAGAAGCCCATAGATAATGAGTCCATAAGCAACGGAATACTTACTCCTCCTTACTCACGCCAAAGAACTCTTTGCTCAAGTTCCCCGTCTCTGCAAGATTAACGTTGGCAATTTTCACGCACAGCTACTAGAAGATTAACGTCTGTCAGAAAGGTTGCTCACGTCATCAAGCTTAGTTTGAGTCGGTTTGAGTCTGCGCGTCAGGAACGGAAGTGCTCAAAAATCGCTAAAAATGGGCTTCAACTGTCTCAACTGAGTTCCAATGAGATGGCTCTGTCCACTTCTTATACTGTCTATGAGTCCCCCCAGGATACGGGTCTCCTTTAGGACCCCGAGTGAACGGACTTTTAATGGGTAGTATTATTAGCGCCTGATTACAATTCCTGCAAAATCACGTTTTGATTTATATTGTTTAAAGTGCGTTAATAATCATTCTTTTAAATTACGTGGTTCATTAGTATAACTGATGCTATAGGTTGTGAAATCAAGCATTTCTCGTTACTGTTTTATATATAGCTTACGTAGCATAGCATACATCTACCCGATTAGCCTGCCGTATATTAGGTATGTGGGTTTATTATAGTATGTAGGTAATGGGTATATTATATTAGGTTTGTAGGTAGGTTTTTTGTTTAATATATTTCCCAATTACATGTTTCAAATTAATGACTTAATTTATTTAAAAAATATTTTAGTATTATTATTATAGCCTATTAATATTGTGTAAAATTCATTTTAAATTACTTTTATAGAACATATTATGTTGCAACTATCCTGATCCATTGTTAGGCATGGTTGTTTTTCAAGTTTGTTTTATTATGCAATACATGGGTGTTCATTTTAAATGTAAAGCATGTTGTTTGTGCACTAAGGTTATAATTATAAATAGGTTACAATTATTCAAGACATCGTCATAACTTTTGATCAGGCATTACCGCCTGGGTCCTAAAGAAGACCCAATTCCGGGGGACTCGATTTCTCATGACACCTGCATTTCGAATCGGATATTATAATTTCGTCTGGCTCCGCAGTGCAAACGGACGAGGCATTTACACTTTTTTTTGGTTGTTTTTGGCATTTATACTTAACGCGCTCGCCGTTGTGCTGTTTTGAGATGATTGGGCTCCAGGGGCCACTCGGAGTAATTGTTCTCTAAACTAAAAGGAAGCAGCCGTGACAAAGTTTGTTTTTACACTTCCAGGAAACCTTGAGATAATTGCTTATCTCCAGGGCTCTCAAAAGTTATATCAAAAGTTTCCTCGGGCCCACCCAATTCTCCAAAAGGTTTTGCTAGCAGTCCAATATTACCTATTGTTCATAACTGACCAGTACAAATAGAAATTTATTATAACAATTGATAAAACTGATCAAAGATTGACAAATTCATCCAAATAAAATTCATTGTAAACGGTTAGTTCCAGTCCTTGATTCTGATTGGTCAATAGCTGTGTTTTATTAACGATAAAACACGGTATAACCACTTCACTAAACAGTTATATGTATCACTACACAACACCCCTAGCAACCACTCTTAGCAACGTAAACATATGTTTGTTCTCATTGATATTGTTCATTGAAGCTTATAGAGTATTGTGAGAGATCGAGTAAGCGAGTGTACCTGCATTTACAGTAGATATAGCATCTTCCCTCAGGTGAGGCCTATATTCATAATCCTAAATCCGTTTGAATGTCCACAGCGATATCTTGTCCTTTTAACTAGGGTTTCCGTGCCTGACACACTACCGGTGAAATGATCATTGGTTATTAAATTAGGGGCCACTAAGATGACACCGTTCTCTCTAAACAGACTTTAAACTGAACCTGTGATAAACGCTGATGTCGTTTACATGCACATTAAGAAATGATTCTATAGATATGTGCGTTTGAATATATGTGCGCAAGTTTGTAATTCCCTACAAACCATGCCTAAACAAACTAATTGTCTTTCCTATACATTTTGATACAAAATGTTATTTTATTTTATCACTTCTGGGTTGGTACGTGAACCCTAATTTCCACAACGCTTTATCTGTAGAGTGGGAAAGGGATCCTCCATAGGGAGAGGATAGTTGACACCTCAGCACTGCATTGTCATCGGGTCCAGGCGAAGCTCCTTCGTCAGATCTGGATACGGCCTGGATCCGGCAGGCTGCAGGAAAACCTCGGGATAAACAAAGACAATGGCGTAGATGCCATTCTTCTTATGATGTAACGAGTACATCAGGATTTAAGGGAAGTGTTCCCAGTTCCGGCTGACCTAATCTATGCAGCCTAACATTGAATTATAGAAGTCTATAATGTATTATGTGTATGCTAGGTCAAAGAGATGTGTTTTTAGTCTAGCTTTGAACTGACAGAGTGTGTCTGCTTCCCGGACAATGTTAAGAAGACTATTCCAAAGTTTTGGTGCTAAATAGGAAAAGGATCTCCCGCCAGCAGTCGATTTAGATATTCTAGGTATTATCAACTGGCCGGAAGTTTGAGATCGCAATAGACGTGAAGGACTATAATGAAGAGCTCGCTCAAGTACTGCGGAGCTAAACCATTTAGTGCTTTGTAAATAATCAGCAATATTTTGAAATGTATACGATGTTTAATAGAGAGCCAATGCAGTGTTGACAGAACCGGGCTAATATGGTCATATTTCCTGGTTCTGGTAAGAACTCGAGCTGCTGCGTTTTGAACTAGCTGGAGTTTGTTTATTAAGCGTGCAGGCCAACCACCCAGTAGAGCATTACAATAGTCTAGCCTTGAGGTCATGAACGCATGAACTAATTGTTCTGCATTTGTTAGTGAGAGCATATGGTGTAATTTAGATATATTTTTAAGATGGAAAAATGCGGTTTTACAGATACTTGACACGTGACTTTCAAATGAAAGATTGGTATCAAAGAGCACACCCAGGTTCCTAACCGACGACGAAGACCAACAGAGCAGCCATCAAGTGTTATGGTGCGTTCACACCGGACGCGAATAGCGTGTCAGGCGTGAGTAATTTCAATGTTAAGTCAATGCAAAGACGCGTTACACGCGTAAAAAATTCCTGCGGCGCGAATGAGGCGTAGAGCACGGCGCGGTAGACGTGAATACGCCTCATTCGCGCGTCAAGTTCGCACGAACTGAGGGTCTGGCGCGTTACGCGCAAATTATTTTA